GAGTGCAGTGGCGCAGTCTTAGCTCACTGCAACCTCTACCCTCTGGGCTCAAGCAATTCTCCTGCCTCAGCCTCCCAAGTAGCTGGGATTACAGCTGCACCATCACACCTGGCTAATTTTTTTGTGTTATTAGTAGAGACAGGGTTTTGCCATGCTGGCCAGGGTGGTCTCGAACTCCTGACCTCAGGTGATTCACTTGCCTTGGCCTCCCAAAGTGCTGGAATTACAGGCATGAGCCACCATATCTGGCCTTGACTCTGTTGATTTATATTAGAGAGTGCTTGGGGCCAGACGTGGTGGCTCACACCTGTAATCCCAACACTTTGGGAGGCCAAGGCAAGCAAATCACCTGAGGTCAGGAGTTCGAGACCAGCCTGGCCAACATGGTGAAACTCCATCTCTACTAAAAATACAAAAATTAAGGCTGGACTCCATGGCTCACGCCTGTAATCCCAGCACTTTGGAAGGCTGAGGCGGACGGATCACTTGAGAAGGGAGTCCAGGCCAGCCTGGCCAACATGGTGAAACCCCGTCTCTACTAAAAACACAGAAAATGAGCTGGGCATGGGGGCGTGTGCCTGTAATCCCAGCTACTTGGAGGCTGAGGCAGGAGAATTGCTTGAACCCAGGAGGCGGAGGATCGCACCACTACCCTCCAGCCTGAGTAACAGAGTGAGACTCAAATTAAAAAAAAAAAAAAAAAAATCAACACAGTTTCGGAAACTTGAAGGCCTGAAACTGTCAGGAACTCTCCCTGTCTGGCCTTCTGTTCCCTTTGGTAAAGAGATTTTACCACTTTGCAGACCTCACTGTACATTAAAATGTTCCTTTCCTAGGCACAGAATTCTCTGGCTTAGCAGCATCTCATTCTGCTGTTTTTCAAGAATCTTTGTGTCTTGCCAGCCACCTACCCTGTTTAGCACCATGGACTGGAGCATCTTCTTGGCTGTGGGCACTTTAACTCTGCCACTGAGCACAGTGCCTTCCAGACCTGCTGGTCTCGTGTCATGCCCCCCCGTTCAGCCACCAGAGCACTGCACAGCCCAATCCTGCAGAACACAACAGCTGCTTTGGAGATTTAACTAGCATTCTTGGCTAAGTTTCTCCTCCTAATATCCTACTACTTAGAAGTTTTTGTGCAGTGCAAAAGCAATTGTGTCATTAGGCCCAACACAGCATTTGGAGATCACAGAAATCCCTGACTTCCTAAATAAGGGCTAAAAGTAGGAATTAAAAAGCACCACTAGGCCAGTCACAGTGGCTCACGCCTATAATCCCAGCACTTTGGGAGTCCGAGGTGGGCAGATCACCTGAGGTCAGGAGTTCGGGACCAGCCTGACCAACATGGTGAAACCCCCGTCTCCACTGAAAATACAAAAATTAGCCAGGCATGGTGGTAGGTGCCTGTAATCCCAGCTATTCGGGAGCCTGAGGTGGAAGAACCGCTTAAACCAGGAGGCGGAGGTTGCAGTGAGCCAAGATTGCACCACTGGACTCCAGCCTAGGCAACAAGAGTGAGACTCCATCTCAAAAGCACCACTAGATATGTGGGTAATCACACAAACATTTATTGGAAATTACATGGAAGTTGTATCTTTTGTGTTAAAGGAAGTATCCTCAAAGTAAAAATGTGCAAGTTTTGGTTACTAAAATTTAAAATATCAAAGTGGGCCAGGCATGGGGACTCACACCTGTAATCCCAGCACTTTGGGAGGCCAAAGCAGGAGGATCACAAGCCCAGGAGTTTGAGACCAGCCGGGGTAACATAAACTCTCTACAAAATATAAAAGTAGCCAGGCATGGTGGTGCGTGCCTATAGTCCCAGGTGCTTGGGAGGCTAAGCTGCAAGGATCACTTGAGCTCAGGAAACTGAGGCTGCAGTGACCCTTGATGACACCACTGTATTCCAGCCTGGTGGACAGAAAAGGATCCCATCTCAAGAAAGAAAGTGTAGAATTATAGATTCTATGTACCATAACTGCTCATCTATGAGTTACCTGCAATTCAAGTTGTAAGGAGATAATCATCCTCTGACTAGTAGCTAGCATCTAGGTAGGTGTGCATGCTCATTTATCAAAATTTACAACAAAACCAATAGCTTATTTATATCATCAGTATATATGCTGTGCTATTATGCCAGGAAAGGTGGTTCTTGTAATAGATTTACAAATCTACCTTTTCATTTTTTCTCTCCAGTGTCTAAAATAACTTACTGTTTTCCACAGATACCATATATAACTTAATCCTTATTTATTAACTGAAAAATTGTAAAGATCGGGATTTAACAGCACTCACATCTTTATGTTTGTGATAAAACAGTAAGTCCTACACCTACATAAAGCATGTACAAATCTTTCCTTTTGTCACAGGATACAGCACAGTGGTTAAGGATATACTCTCTGCAGTAAGTGTGCCTGGGTTTGACTCAGTTTCCCCATGTACTGGCCTGGGCATCCTTTGTGCCTCACTTTCCTCATCTACAAGGTAGGAATATCAATGGTAACTACCTCTTACGGTGGTAGCAACTAACCAGCTCTGCCACTCCTGTGATCTCTAAGAGGTTTTGATCATACACCCAGCAGTAAAAGTTAAGTATATGTCCAGCCCCAGTGTCTATAAGCTATGTGTTATATTAATTTACTTGGGTTCCAACATGTGTAATCTATAAAACAGGATTTTAAAAGTATGCAGATTACAGGCCAGCCATGGTGGCTCATGCCTGTAATCCCAGCTTTGGGAGGCCGAGGCGGGGGGATTACTGGAGTCCAAGAGTTTGAGACCAGCATGGGCAATATGGCAAAACCCTGTCTCTCCAAAAAAATACCAAAAAAAAAAATAACCAGGTTTGGTGGTGCATGCCTGTAGTCTCAGCCACTTGGGAAGCTGAGGCAGGCAGATCGATTGGGCCCAGAAGGCAGCTGTTGCTGTAAGCCGTGATCACCCCACTGCACTCCAGTCTGGGTAACAGAGCAAGGCTTGGTCTCAGAAAAAAAAAATGAGGACAAACAAAATTAACAGTTCATTCTTTTTAGAGACAGAGTCTTGCTCTGTCACCCAGGCTGGAGTGCAGTGGCATGATCATAGCTCACTACAGCCTCAAACTCCTGGACTGAAAGCGATCCTCCTGCCTCAGCCTCCTGAGTAGCTGGAACTACAGGTACACACTACTATGCCCAGCCAACTTTTTGATTGTTTGTAGAGATGAGATGTATTAGTTCACTTTTGCACTAACAACCTGAGCATGGGTAATTTATAAAGAGGTTGGCCAGATGTGGCGTCTTACATCTGTAATCCCAGCACTTTGGGAGGCCAAGGCAGGTGGCTCATGAGGTCAGGATATCGAGACCATCCCGGCCATGGTGAAACCCTGTTTCTACTAAAATACAAAAAAATTACCCAGGTGTGGTGGTGTGTGCCTGTAGTCCCAGCTACTCAGGAGGCTGAGGCAGGGGAATTGCTTGAATATGGTAGATGGAGATTGCAATGAGCTGAGATCCAGCTTGGTGAAAAAGCAAGACTCCATCTCAAAAAAAAAAAAAAAAAAAAAAAAAAAGGAGAAGAGATTTAATTGACTCACAGTTCTCCGTGGCTGGGGAAGCCACAGGAAACTTACAATTATGGCAGAAAGCAAAGAGGAAGCAAGGCACATCGTACATGGTGGCAGGAGAGAGAGTGAAGGGGAAAACTGTCTCACACTTCAAACCATCAGATGTCATGAGAACTCACTATCATGAAAACAGCATGGGGGAAACCACCCCCATGATCCAATCACTTCCCACTAGGTCCCTCCCATGACACATGGGGATTACAATTCTGTATGAGATTTGGATGGGGACACAGAGCCAAACCGTATCATAGGGGTCTCACTGTGTTGTCCAGGTCAGTCTCCTGGGCTCAAGCGATCCTCCTGCCTTCGCTTCCCGAAGTGTTGAGGTTACAGGTGTGAGCCACCACACATGGTCTGATATTTTTTTCTTAGCCCCCCAGGAGTGAGCTTCTGCACCCCTCTTTGTAGACAACTACTCTAACTCAGTGTTGGAAATAGATGTTAGAAATAGATGCTCGGTGCTGCAAAGAAAAATTAGCACTGAGACAAAGGATTTTTTAACAACGCAATTTTTACTTCCTGGACTGCAGGAAGGGTACTCCCAGTAGCCATTGTGCCTCGAGAGTACAAAGAACACACAAATTTATCCCTTACGCATTTGGGCTTGTCCTTACTGCTGTATCTGATCTCCGTTGGCTGGAGCCAGACCTCACAATCTAAACTAAAGCCCAATTGGCTAACAACTTAAAACTTTTCTAAACAGGTAAAAGGAATGGAGGGCTGGGACATGCCTGTGAGCACGTCCAGCACAGATATCTTGGTTAAAGTACAAAGACATAGAATGTACTACGTGCCTGTAAGCCTGACATGTCTAACAGCTACATAGGATAGGGCTTAACAAAGTTATTAGCACACTTACGATTTATTTTTTAAAGAAATGAAACTTTAAAAAGGAATTTGTCTACTTCCCACACTCAGTTTGTCCCAGAAGTTGGCCATATGTGACCCTAGGACCAAAGGGTCACTACACTGAGGGCAGGCAGTGTTTTGGAAGGGGTGGTGCTTGCCATGGGTGGCTGTGGCAAACAATGAGAACAGACTGGGGAGTTCTTTTTTTTGAGATGGAGTCTCGCTCTGTCACCCAGGTTGGAGTGCAGTGGCGCGATCTCAGCTCACTGCAACCTCTGTTTCCCGGGTTCAAGCAATTCTCCTGCCTCAGCTTCCTAAGTAGCTGGGATTACAAGCGTGCGCCACCACGCATGGCTGACTTTTGTATTTTTAGTAGACACGAAGTTTCACCATGTTGGCCAGGCTTGTCTTGAACTCCTGACCTCAGGTGATCCAACCGCCTCAGCCTCCCAAAGTGCTGGGATTTCAGGTGTGAGCCACAGTGCCCAGCCCAGACTGGGAGCTCTAACAGAGCAGAGAGTTGAATACACGGAGCTTCACGGAGTGCTGGTGGGAGTGTAGACTGTGTGTACGTAGGCATGAAATGAACCCTACCTTACCAGCCAGGGCAGTGCTCAGGGCTTCACGTGCACGATTTTCTTACCACCCCTCAGAAACTAGGGACCCTTCACCCATTCTACAAAGTCAGCAGAACTGAGACTCAGAGAAGCAGAGCGAGGAATCAAAACCTAGGTCTCTTTCACTCCAGCACTCTATGTTGTCAGCCGCAGTGCTGACATAGTTAAACAGGAACCGGCCGCTGCTGTCTGGTCATGTGAGGAAGAGACAGTTTCTGAGGTTGCCCCACCCAGTTATGACTTCCCGCTAAACCAGCTCCTGCCAGGGCCACGGCAGAGGAGATAGGAGATCCTGCAGAGAGAGGAGGTTCTGCACTTACAACGCGTGATGAAGTGCCTTGTTTTTTTCAAGCTCCACCCCCAAAGTGCCCTTTAAAGGAGAACAAGACTTATTTTCCAGTATTTGCACACAATGCCCAGGTGAAAATTAGTAGAAGTAGCTGGAATCATGGAGATCATTGAGGAAGACTGTCATTTAAAGTTTTCAACAACTGCCTTGTGGAGCAGACAGTCTTCTGGCTATTGGTCTCAAATGCTCTGAGGTAAAAGAATCCAGCTGTCAGCTGGGCACAGTGGCTAATGCCTGTAATCCCAGCACTTTGGGAGGCAGGAGTTCCAGACCAGCCTGGACAACATGGTGAAACCCCGTCTCAACTAAAAATACAAAAAATTAGCTGGGCGTGGTGGCGGGCGCCTGTAATCCCAGCTACTCAGGTGGTTGAGGCAGGAGGATCACTTGAACCTGGGAAGCAGAGGTTACAGTGAGCCGAGATTGTGCCATTGCACTCCAGCTCTGGTGACAGAGCAAGACTCCATCTCAAAAAAAAAAAAAAAAGTTACAGTAGTAAACTTGTATATATATTTTACCACAGTGAAAACAAACACTGGGCTGCAGGTCGGGGCAGGGAGACAAACGTGACTGTTCTGCAGGTGGAGTGAGCTGGGGCTGCCCCGTCTTGGATGAGCAAACCCCTGTCCCATCTGCAGAGGTATTTTTCACCCCTAAGTCAACCAGAAGCAGATGAGAGGCAGCAAATTAAGCATAAACTTGTCCTTCAATGTTTTGGCTATAGAAATAGAAGTCACCTGATGTTTTACCCTATACTGATGGTATAATAATAACTTTTGGGAACAGATGGGGCTTTCTTTCTAGCCTCCTTCCTGGCAGCCACTTATCTCTTCTGCTTCCACCAACCGCTCAGCATTACCATCTCTCGCATTTCATGACATACGCCATTCCAACTGCTTGATATTATTTTCTCCTCCTCTTCCACCTGGCAGAGTCCTAGTTAAGTCTTTTGTTGGTTTATTTAACAAATATATGGGAGCCAGTCTGAGATTTGGTTCTGATGAACTTCTTGCTCTCTTTCTGTCCTTCCTCAGGTACAGGGAGGGACTTTGCCACAGGGTGACCCTAGGATTGCACCTAAAAACGGAGCTGCCCATTGCAGGCTGTGAGGCAGGAGCCCTTTTATGAAGCAAACAGGGTCTGTATCTTCATTTCCTAGAGGTGTCTGGCATATATAGGTGCCCGGTACATGATCAGATGAACCTGAAGGTTGATGTCTCTGCCCAGGGTGGTGCTAGAAGGAACAGGGGAGGGTAGTAAACCAAATGTTTAATCAACTAATTCGTGAGACTAGACAGGTGGGGCGCTCAGAGAACAGTGGGTTTTCTGCCAAAAACATGGACCTTTCATCGTCTTAATAATCATCTCCCTAAGGCAGATGCAATTTCACTGTTCACCCACCTTTTGCTCACAAGGATACTGTCCCTGGCATGCTTTTTTGTTTTTTTTGTTTTTGAGACAGGGTCTCACTCTGTCGCCCAGGCTAGAGAGCAGCAGCGCGATCTCGGCTCACTGCAACCTCCGCCTCCCAGATTCAAGCAATTCTCATGCCTCAGCCTCCTGAGTAGCTGGGACTACAGGCACGTGCCACCACACCCAGCTAAGTGTTGTTTTTTGTTTTTTTTTTTTTGAGACAGAGTCTGCTCTGTCACCCAGGCTGGAGTGCAATGGTGCCATTTTAGTTCACCACAGCCTCCACCTCCTGAGTTCAAGCGATACTCATGCCTCAGCCTCCCGAGTATCTGGGGATACAGGCGCACACCATTGCACTCAGCTAATTATTTATATTTTTGGTAGAGATAGGGTTTCACCATGTTGGCCAGGCTGGTCTTGAACTCCTGACCTCAGGTGATCTGCCTGCCTCGGCCTCCCAAAGTGCTGGGATTACAGGCATGAGCCACCAAGCCTGGCCTTTTAAAAAAAATTTTTGTAGAGACTCTATCTCCCTATGTTCCCCAGGCTGGTCTCAAATTCCTGGACTCAGGCAATCCTCCCACTTCAACCTTCTAAAGTGCTGGGATTATAGGTAGGAACCACTACACCCAGCACCCCCGGCACACTTTTTGCCTCTTCCTTGCTGGTCCCAAGACTACCCAACTACAGTTCCACCCCACTGAAGCATCTCTGTGAAGATCACCCATACTGTCCTCATTGGGGTTGTCCTTAATTCTTACTGGACCCTTTGACAACCAAACAGAACTCCGTGTACAACAGCACTTCTTGTAGCTCTTTGTGTTATATTAATGATACCGTGTTAACTGAGAAGGACTTGATTGAATATTTTTCCACATTTTTCCTCCTATTGTGTTTTCTTTGTTTCTGTCTTATCCAAGATAACAATCCAAATTTCGTGGTCCAGCACAATGGCTCACAGCTGTAATCCCTACACTTTGGGAGGGATCACTTGAGGTCAGGAGATCAAAACCAGCTGGCCAACATGGTGAAACCCCATCTCTACTAAAAATACAAAATTAGGTCAGATGCGGTGGCTCACGCCTATATTTCTGGCATTTTGGGAGGCCGAGGCAGGTGGATCATGAGGTCAATAGATCGAGACCATCCTGGCCAACATGGTGAAACCCCATCTCTACTAAAAATACAAAAATTAGCCAGCAAATCTATTTCCAGGAGTTTATCTGATATATGTGCATATGTGCAAAATGATTTATGTACAAGTTATTCATTAAAGTAGCACTGGCCAGGTGCAGTGGCTCACGCCTGTTACATGTAAATTTTTGGTGCCACAAAAGAAGTAGTACTTGAATATAAACCTCCTCAGCAAGGCAATTTACTTCTACAGAAGGCTGCAGCTCACAGATGGAACAGTGGCAAGCACACACCTGGACAAGGGAGGGGAAGGCTTCTTATTCCTAATGGAGGTAGCCCCTGATGCTACATCGTTCCCCTATTGGCTAGGGTTAGACAGCACAGTCTAGGCTAATTTGGATTGGCTATTTTAAAGAGCGCAGGGGTACCAACCAGAGTGGTGGGTGAGTAGTTTGGTTGGAAGGATGGTTACAGGACAGGTCAGAGCAGGTAACCAGGGGGTAACTGAGGTCAAAGCAGGTGACCAGAGCAGGTAACCGGAGCAGGTGACCAGGATGAGTCAGGGAAGAGCAGGGGACCACGGGGAACACATGTGAACTGCTGATTAGAACTGGTGGAGAAGGTTGTTTACTGAAACTGCAAGGAAGTTAAACTTTAAAATGGAGGACAAAGAACTGAACCTACTGACATACTGATTCTTTGAAAAGAAATTCAGAACTCATTGTCTCCAACACGCCAGTAATCCCAGCACTTTGGGAGGCCGAAGTAGGTGATCACTTGAGGTCAGGAGTTTAAGACCAGCCTGGCCAACATGGTGAAACCCCGTATATACTAAAAATACAAAAATTAGCCAGACATGATGGCACACCCCTGTAATCCCAGCTACTCAAGAGGCTGAGGCAGGAGAATTGCTTGAACCTGGGGGGTCAGAGGTTGCAGTGAGCCAAGATTGTGCCACTGCACTTCAGCCTGGGCAACAGAGTAAGACTGTCTCAAAATAAATAAATAAATAAATATAAAACAGTGCTGATAATAGCAAAAGTTTGGAGACAAACTCTGTGTTCTCCAGTAGGAGATTGGCTAAATAAATTGTGATGCATCTGCTGACTGGGTGCAGTGGCTCACGCCTGTAATCTCAGCACTTTGGAAGGCCAAGGCAGATGGATCACCTGAGGTCAGGAGTTGGAGACCACCCTGGCCAACATGGTGAAACCGTGTCTCTACTAAAAATACAAAAATTAGCTGGGCATGGTGGTGGGCACCTATAATCCCAGCTACTCAGGAGACTGAGGCTGGAGAATCACGTGAACCCAGGAGGCAGAGGTTGCAGTGAGCCAAGATTATACCATTGCACCCCAGCCTGGTGACAAGAGCAAAACTCTATCTCAAAAAGAAAACACACACACACACACACACACACACACACACACACACACACACACACACACAGACGTCTATTTGGTCCAGAAAGGCAGGACAACTCAAAGGTGGGCAAGCGGGGAAGGGGCAGGGTTCAGGTAAATGTAAATATTTTCTGTTTAACAATTGGTTGAGATTGTCTAAAGACCTGGGATCAACAGAAAGGAAATGTTCAGGTTAAGATAAAAGATTGTGGAGGCTGGGCACGGTGGCTCATGCCTGTAATTCCAGCACTTTGGGAGGCCAAGGTGGGTGGATCATTTGAGGTCAGGAGCTTGAGACCAGCCTGGCCAACATGTGGAAACCCCATCTCTACTAAAAATACAAAAAAAAAAAAAAAAATTAGCCAGGCATGGTGGTGGGTGCCTATAATCCCAGCTACTCAAGAGGCTGAGTAGAATGGTGGGAAAATCGCTTGAACCCAGCAGGTGCAGGTGGCAGTGAGCCGAAATTGCCCCACTGAGCTCCAACCTGTTCAACAGAGCAAGGCTCTGTCTCAGAAAAAAAAGATTGTGGAGACCAAGGTTCTTTTGAAGTCTTTATATTGGCTGCTCTTAGAGACAATAGATGATGAACATTTTCTATTCAGACCTTTAAAACGTGCTGGACTCTTAATCTTTTCAATATTGGGGAAGTAAGAGATCTAGCTGTGTTAATAGAGATTATTTACAGATGCAAATTTCCCCCTACAAAGGACGGCTTTTCAGGGCTAGTACAAAATATGGCAAAGAGCAGTCCCAGTGGCTCACACCTGTAATCCCAGCAATTTGGGTGGCCGAGGTGGGCAGATCAGCTGAATTCAGGAGTTCAAGACCAGTCTGATGGACAAGGAGAAACCCCATCTCTACTAAAAATACAAAATGCATGGTGGTGCATGCCTGTAATCCCAGCTACTTGGAAGGCTGAGACAGGAGAATCGCTTGAACCCGGGAAGTGGAGGTTGCGGTGAGCCGAGATGGCACCATTGTACTCCAGCCTGGGCAACAAGAGTGAAACTGTCT